CCCCCGTGCCCTCCATCCCCCTTCTCCTTACTCAAAGGAGGAGGCGAAGTACTTCTTGACGCTCTCGTCGTGGATGAATTCCACCCCACAGTCTCCGGGCAGGTCCTCCACCCTCCAGCCGTCCCCTCCGTGCTCCACGTCGCACCAGCCCTCCAGGTCCTCTGTAAGAGCACGACAGCCCCACCCTGGTCACCCACTCCCTGCTGAGGGTGTGGCCGGGCTGGTTCCCGCGCCATCGGTTGCGGGGCAGGGGAACGTGGTCCTTTAACGGAGGGGGGGGGGAGGCAGGTGATGCGAGGGGTTGGAACGGGAGGAATTTCCTGTTCGTCCCCAGATTCTCTCTCCCTCCTGGGAGGGTCCTCCGCGGGGCCCGTCTTGCCTCAGATCTTGAGGGTGGAAGGACCTGGAAAAGGGACCCCCAGAGAGCAGGCGGCCCCAGGGGCCAAACAGGATTCTTGTGGGGGCTGCCCCGCGGGGCGTCGTGCCGGGGCTTTATCCCATTTAGCGCTCCAAGCAGGCTGGCGTTGCTCCAGCCCCTTTTGCAGCAGGGAAAACTGAGCTCCCCGGGGCCCCTCACCTGCCCCGCACGGGTTGCGCAGAAGGTTGCGCCGCCGCTTGCTCAGGAAGTAAAACTGCTGCCAGTGGTCGCGCTCGTCCTCGGCGCCGCCCTCGGGCACCAGCCCCTCCTGCTGACACTTGAGCAGCCAGAGGGGGGCGCCGTCCACCAGCTCCTTCCAGCGCAGGCACACCAGGCGGCAGGCCTGCACCAGCTCGGCTGCCGGCAGCTCGGCCAGCACGCGCAGCAGCAGCGGCTCGGGCAGCTCCTCCAGGTACGCCGCCGCCTCCTCCTCCTCCTCCTCCTCGGGCCGCTCCTCCCCGGCGCTCGCCTCCTCCGCGCCGGCTTCCTCCTGCTGCCCCTCCGGGCTCACCTCCTCCGGCTGGCCCAAGCTCTCTGCAGGCGGGGGAGGGGAGGGGGGGGGCGGGGGCTGTGACTCTGCTCAGAATATCCCCCTCCAAGCTTCAGAACCGCGACGTGTCGGGTATCTGCCCCTCACCCACCCTCGGACGATCCGAAACCGGGGCCCGGGGCTCTGTGGCCAGAGACCGGCGCCCAGTGGAGGAGACCCCAGGGGGCTAGGGCCGCAGACCAGCGCCCAGTCGGGAGTTTCCTGGCAGGGCCAGTAAACCCGAGCGGTTAACAGCAACTGATAATCTGATTGTAAGGGCACCCATCTAATTGCACAAACTTGACTTCATCCACTCCTTTATCCTTACAACCGCGCCCTGAGATCCCTGCCTCCCCTCACCTCCTCTGGGGACGGCTCCCGGACTTCCCACCATGAAATCTTCCAGCCGTGGAGTTCCTGTCCCTCCTAGCGCTTGTCTTAGGGTGTGTTGGTTTGTAAACACCTCCCTCAGGACTAGAGTGAGTGCAAGAAGGCAGGAACTGGGTCTGGGACACTCACTGCTTCACCCCAGTGCCTGGCGTCTCGATCCCTCCCTGGCACACTGTCAGCAGCTAATGTTTACTGGGCATTTAGCAAGAGCGAGACATTGTCCTCAGCGTTTTTATTTATTCTAAATCCTTGCAGCATCTCTCTGAGGTTGCTCCTCCTGCTGTCGCTATGTCATTGATAAAGAAACTGAGGCAATAGTGAGGTGAAACCACTCAGGATCACACAGCAAATGAGTGGTTGAAGCCTGGGTTCAAATCCAGGCTCAAAAAAAAAAAAAA